ACCTGAACAGACCTATAACCACTAAGGAAATTGAAGCAGTCATCAAAAATCTCCCAAAAAACAAAAGCCCAGGGCCAGATGGCTTCCCAGGGGAATTCTACCAAACATTTCAAGAAGAATTAATACCTATTCTTCTGAAACTGTTCCAAAAAATTGAAACGGAAGGAAAACTTCCAAACTCATTTTATGAGGCCAGCATTACCTTGATCCCCAAACCAGACAAAGACCCCATCAAAAAGGAGAATTACAGACCAATATCCCTGATGAACATGGATGCAAAAATTCTCACCAAAATACTAGCCAATAGGATCCAACAGTACATTAAAAGGATTATTCACCATGACCAAGTGGGATTTATCCCTGGGCTGCAAGGTTGGTTCAACATCCGCAAATCAATCAATGTGATACAGTACATTAACAAAGGAAAGAACAAGAATCATATGATCCTCTCGATAGATGCCGAAAAAGCTTTTGACAAAGTACAGCATCCTTTCTTGATCAAAACTCTTCAGAGTATAGGGATAGAGGGTACATACCTCAATATCATAAAAGCCATCTATGAAAAACCTACAGCAAATATTATTCTCAATGGGGAAAAACTGAGAGCTTTCCCCCTAAGGTCAGGAACGCGGCAGGGATGTCCACTATCACCACTGCTATTCAACATAGTATTGGAAGTCCTAGCCACAGCAATCAGACAACAAAAAGAAATCAAAGGCATCCAAATTGGCAAAGAAGAAGTCAAACTCTCACTCTTTGCAGATGATATGATACTTTATGTGGAAAACCCAAAAGACTCCACCCCAAAACTGCTAGAACTCATACAGGAATTCAGTAAAGTGGCAGGATATAAAATCAATGCACAGAAGTCAGTGGCATTCCTATACACCAACAACAAGACAGAAGAAAGAGAAATTAAGGAGTCGATCCCATTTACAATTGCACCCAAAACCATAAGATACCTAGGAATAAATCTAACCAAAGAGACAAAGGATCTGTACTCAGAAAACTATAAAATACTCATGAAAGAAATTGAGGAAGACACAAAGAAATGGAAAAACGTTCCATGCTCATGGATTGGAAGAACAAATATTGTGAAGATGTCAATGCTACCTAGAGCAATCTACACATTCAATGCAATCCCCATCAAAATACCATCCACTTTTTTCAAAGAAATGGAACAAATAATCCTAAAATTTGTATGGAACCAGAAAAGACCCCGCATAGCCAGAGGAATATTGAAAAAGAAAAGCAAAGCCGGTGGCATCACAATTCCGGACTTCAAGCTCTATTACAAAGCTGTCATCATCAAGACAGCATGGTACTGGCACAAAAACAGACACATCGATCAATGGAACAGAATAGAGAGCCCAGAAATGGACCCTCAACTCTATGGTCAACTAATCTTCGACAAAGCGGGAAAGAATGTCCAATGGAACAAAGACAGTCTCTTCAACAAATGGTGTTGGGAAAATTGGATAGACACATGCAGAAGAATGAAACTGGACCACTTCCTTACACCACACACAAAAATAGACTCCAAATGGTTGAAAGACCTCAATGTGAGACAGGAGTCCATCAAAATCCTAAAGGAGAACACAGGCAACAACCTCTTTGACCTCAGCCGAAGCAACTTCTTCCTAGAAACATCGCCAAAGGCAAGGGAAGCAAGGGCAAAAATGAACTATTGGGACTTCATCAAGATAAGAAGCTTTTGCAAAGCAAAGGAAACAGTTAACAAAACCAAAAGACAACCGACAGAATGGGAGAAGATATTTGCAAATGACATATCAGATAAAGGGCTAGTATCCAAAATCTATAAAGAACTCATCAAACTCAACACCCAAAGAACAAAGAATCCAATTAAGAAATGGGCAGAAGACATGAACAGACATTTTTCCAAAGAAGACATCCAAATGGCCAACAGACACATGAAAAAGTGCTCAATATCGCTCGGCATCAGGGAAATCCAAATCAAAACCTCAATGAGATATCACCTCACACCAGTCAGAATGGCTAAAATTAACAAGTCAGGAAACGACAGATGTTGGCGGGGATGCGGAGAAAGGGGAACCCTCCTACACTGTTGGTGGGAATGCAAGCTGGTGCAGCCACTCTGGAAAACTGTATGGAGGTTCCTCAAAAAGTTGAAAATAGAGCTACCATATGATCCAGCAATTGCACTACTGGGTATTTACCCCAAAGATACAAAAGTAGGGATCCGAAGGGCTACGTGCACCCCGATGTTTATAGCAGCAATGTCCACAATAGCCAAACTGTGGAAAGAGCCAAGATGTCCATCGACAGATGAATGGATAAAGAAGATGTGGTATATATATACAATGGAATATTATGCAGCCATCAAAAGGAATGAGATCTTGCCATTTGCAACGATGTGGATGGAACTGGAGGGTATTATGTTGAGTGAAATAAGTCAAACAGAGAAAGACATGTATCATATGATCTCACTGATATGAGGAATTCTTAATCGCAGGAAACAAACTGAGTGTTGTTGGAGTGGGGGGTGGGGTGGGAGGGATGGGGGGACTGGGTGATAGACACTGGGGAGTGTATGTGCTCTGGTAAGCGCTGTGAATTGTGCAAGACTGTTGAATCTCAGATCTGTACCTCTGAAACAAATAATGCAATATATGTTAAGAAAAAAAAAAAAAGAAGAAGAAGAAGAAGGTAGCGGGAGGGGAAGAATGAAGCGGGGGAAATCGGAGGGGTAGACGAACCATGAGAGACGATGGACTCTGAAAAACAAACAGGGTTCTAGAGGGGAGGGGGGTGGGAGGATGGGTTAGCCTGGTGGTGGGTATTTAGGAGGGCACATTCTGCATGGAGCACTGGGTGTTGTGCACAAACAATGAATCATGGAACACTTCATCTAAAACTAATGTTGTAATGTAAGGGGATTAACATAAGAATAAAAAAATTAAAAAAAAAAAAAAAAAAAAATTATGCAATAGTGAAATACAGAACACACACACACACACACACACACACACACCCCTTTACCATTACTGGCTAAATCAGCCTCTTCTTTCCTAGGACAGAGAGAAGTCCCCATTTGCCCGAGATTCACAAGTAACTACTTCTATCAGAATTAAGAGGTTTGGCAAAGAAAGAAAAATCCTCCAAGCAAGGAAAAAAGAAGCCATTTCAAGAACTATAAAAAGATCATATCCAAGAAAATGTGGCTGATAAATGATTATGATATCTTATCATATCATACCATATGACTTATGATTATAACATGGGCCATAGTCAGAGGCTGAGTATAGGTGGTCTGGCAGATTAAAAAAACACAGATACATGAGTGTTCTTGATAATAATGACTCATCCCTCTTGGGGAGCGGCTGTTCCAGACCAGGCCAGTCCTAGGACAGCCTGTTAAGTTTTAGCAATATCCCAACTGATTTTAAGGGTTAGGTCCAGTGGGAGATTTGGGTCAGAAGTCTTAAACTATGCTTCCCCTTTCTGTCTCCCACCTGCCCGCCACCACTAGGGGCCTGACTTCCACATTAGCCCCAGAGAGGGCTTCCTGTGGAACAGGGGGTGACTCGTGCCTGGGCTGGACATCTCGGAATCACCATAACCACAGCACATCCCACATTCCTAAGACCGGAGTCAAAATATTCTCCTATGTAGAAGCTAATCCCGAATCAGAGTATCTGGTCCAATTGCCTTATTTCCCTGTGCAACTTCTAGTTTCAAGCACAAAAGAAAAAACAATAGGGGAGAAAAATCTGGGCTCTTTTATTAAAGTCATACTAAAACTGAAAGCAATCAGAGAATCAGAATTTTCTGCAAAAATGCTCTGTTGGCGTTTGGGAAAATTCGTGTGAAACCACAGCTCAGAGGACAGGAGGGAGCCAAGGAATTGGGATCTCAGAAAAAAGCAGGAAATATCACCCAACAAGATTTCACCACGTACTGGTAAGTTTATATAAAGTTGGTGCTCGAGGTAAACCAATAATTAATGGCCACGAAACCACCACTCAATCATTCAAATGGCCCAAGATCCTTAAAATACAGGCATCTGGTTGAGAATATTTCAGCAAACAGTTTTCATACCACTTCTAAATTCATAACTATAAATCTGGAATTAAAGCATATTCTTGACCATTCTACCTGAACAAGGAAGCAGTCACAGTTCTATAGACTCATGGACCTATAAAAACAAGGATGAATTGTCTTCACTTTTTTTTTTCTTTAAATTCTGTTACTCTGGCTCGAGCCATCTTTTAATATTTATTTATTTTTTTAAAGATTTTATTTATTTATTTTAGAGAGAGAGAGACAGCACGAGTGTGAGGGGCAGAAGGAGACAGAGAGAGAGAGAGAATATCAAGCAGACTCCATGCTGAGTGTGGAGCATGATGCAGGGCTCAATCCCAGGGTCCTGGGATCACAACCTGAGCTGAAACCAAGAGTCAGACTGAGCCACCCAGGCACCCTGCCATCCTTCAATATTTAAAAAGATTTATTCTCACATGGACAATGTGATCCATATAATCAGCAGACTATTAAAATTTTAACTTTCTTTGCCATTTTCCACAGGATGTCTCACACATTTTTTTCTTATAAATATTCAGTTGGGGTTGGGGGGGGCAGTAAACAGTGATGAAACAAGTTTATTTTGAGAAATAGAGCCAACATTCTCAACAGCCATGACCCATCTTTGCATACAACCCTATCTGGCTGATGTACCAATCCTCTGAGTTAGAGTTAAATGTCAAGGACCACAACTGGATGCTTCCAGTCTCTTCCTCGACATCCCAATTTTTAGTCACATACCAATTGGCATGGACTTAAATATCTGTGTGTGATGACACAAGATTTAGGTTAAACACAGATATAGCCACATTTCACCCAATCCAATTTCTCAGTTTTTTCTTAGTCCAAGTGTTCAGTGGGCTCAAGCATATTTGTAGTGTAAGAATACAGGTGGGGCCAGTCATTGCTCGAGAATATTTACTCCATGCCATACTTACTGCCTGATCTCAGGGATGAGGTCAAAGTCAGAACGCCTCAAAGTTCTGCCAAACACAAATCAGCCCACTGTGCTCAAAGTGGTCTTGTTCATCTTCAGTTTGGGGTTCCTGACATTGTCAACCACTCTACCTGCGCAGATTTGCTTGGCTGCCACCTTCACCCTTGAGGGTTTTTTCTAGAAGAAAAACATAAGTTTTCAAGTTGCAATTTTATTATCACATATTCCCAATGTTTTGCGTAGACTAAATGAAAATAAAATGATATAAATCACATGCAGTCATAGGTGCCTTCAAATGCTCCCAAATGACACCTACCATAAAGAATTCAACTTTCCTACTGCTAACGTAATCTCAACTAACTAAAATATCTCTGTGATCTGAACTACCTCTAAACTGTTCAGGCTGTTCTCCAATATTTGGTTCCCTCCTTCCTGACACATGGTAGGATTATACTTCTGACTTTGTTGAACCTAGCATGGGTATGTGACTTGCTCTGGCCAATAAATGCAAGCAGAAATGTCACCTTGAGAAGGAAGCTTTAGGAGCCAATGCCACTTGACCACATTAATTTCTTCCTCTGCCACAGCGATCACCTCAGTTCTCAATGTGGCTGCTCCACCATTCTAGATCCCTGAATGCGGGTGACAAAAATATGCAAAATGGATAACAATGTGAGCAAGAAATACACGTGTTACTTTAAATAATTGAACTTTGGGAGTTGTTTGTTACGGCAACACAACCTAGGAAAAAAATATCGGGATACTAAGCACTATGGTGAATGTTACTATAATCTAAAACAGAAGAAATTTGGGGCTCTATCTGTTACACTGTAGCATATATATGTGTATGTATCATTTTACATATATACATTATTATAGTAATATTCTATATTATTATATTACCTATATTATTTTTAGCCACCTATTAAAACAGACTTCTCTCCCATCTCCTCCCCACACACAAAAAAAAACCTTCTCAAATCAATTGGGTAATCTAAATGCTTTAAAATAAGTGCTCACAAATCTCAAATTAACTGAGACTCCCCCATCAAAAAAGTCTTGATCCATTTGTCAAAATCATTTGCAGAGGTCCACTTCTCCAAGACCAAGTACATTAATCAAACACAGGGCTTCAAAGGAGCTTCATTTTGAGCAACCCAACAGACAAATAAATGAGCTGCCGATGGCCCCTTCGTAACGGCCGAGGACCAGGCTGACCCAAGCGGATAGGAGTAAAGCTCAAAGGGAACCATCCAAGCAAAAGCAGCATTTGGGGACCAGAAGCAAACCAATAAAGCCATCCCACATACTCTCAGTTCCAAGACTGTGAGCCAAGCACGTGTGTGTTTGTTCGCTAAAATAAGAAGATGCAAACGTCCCACGTCTGGTTGATTTCTTATGTGCTACAACCATAAAGATGTTTGTGTCTGGAGTACACATCTGAGCGTTGTGCTCAAATGTGGCAACTCATAAACTTGATCACACATACCTATGATCTATAAGAATGTTTCCCTTTGAAACAGTGTAATTCTGGAAGGTTTTCTTCTCTATCGCCTGGATGAATTGCCTAAAGTTTCTCATTTAAGTATGTGAAGAACTGTCCATTTTTACTCTGCAGAGCTTTTCACTGGTGACTCAGTGAGGGATGATGTCATCTGTTATCCTACAACGGCTGGTGTGGTTCTCTCTGCTTACTTAAACCATTCCCTCTGTTTCTGTGGCAGACAGCACTCCCCAGTTTCCATCCTGTCGTCAGCTTCTTCCCAGCCAGCCCCAGGCAAACAGCCTCCCCAGCAGCAGATGAAACAGGAAGTCGGACAGCTTGAGCCTGCAGTGGGACCCCTAGTGTTTTCCCACTCCATGCCCTGGCAGCGTTCCCCACAAGTACAAACACACACACACACAGAGCTCCCATTGTTGCAGCCTTCCCCAGCCTACTGATCCTAATATGGAATGCAGCAGGAAACCCATGATTTCCTGGTACTCGGCAAGCTGGAGGAAGCAAGGGGAAAACTCCATTAAAAAGCCCAGCTTCCCTCCATGTTAGATGTGAAGTGGAAAAAGGGGAAGATTTAGCAGAATTCCACCGTGTCTTCTAGCCAGGCTGGAGAGGGGAAGAGCACAGCGAATTCGGAGGAAAAAATGAGGGTTTCTTAACTCAAACTAAAGGGGAAAGGGACAGATGCTTTTAATCATTCTCCCAAATGTGTGCCACCTTTCCTGACCAGTATGGTAAGCGCGAGGGCATGTGCCGGCTGCCTGGGACAGGTCCGTGTGATCCCAGGCGCCCTAAGTAAGGCAGGGTGATCTCGAGCCCGCCGCTCGCCCGCTTCCCGCGCTCCATGGGCTTCGGGAGAAGCAGGAGAAGCCACAGCGGCTGCCGGGTGCCGGCAGCTGGAGCCGCCGGGATGAGCTGCACCGAGCGCGGTGACAGGCGCTGCGGCTGCGGGGCAACGGAGGAGAAGAAGATGCTCAAGTGCGTGGTGGTGGGGGACGGCGCCGTGGGGAAAACCTGCCTGCTGATGAGCTACGCCAACGACGCCTTCCCAGAGGAGTATGTGCCCACTGTGTTTGACCACTATGCAGGTAAGGGAAGGCGGAAAACCCTGCCCTGCGGACGGGGGGCGCGATGCGGGCCGCCACACCCCAACTTCAGAGGGGCCTGCTTTAGCTCGCAGGGCAGCCGGTAGGGGCCGCGGGCCTGGCCGCCGCCGGGTCCCGGAGCGAAACACACAGCCAAGGTCTCTGCTGGAACGGTTAGGGCAATTCGTCCGTCCCTTGGTATCCTCACAACTCCCCACCCCCTCTCCTTAAATCAAATGACGAATACTGGGGAAATACCCTGAACTGCCCTCCAGGCTTTGGGGCCAGAGATTTCACGCAACGTTCTTGGGAAGATTCATAACTTTTTATGGGAACATTCTAAAACGTAACTGCAACACCATTAAAAAAAAAAAAAAATCACCACTAACCACACAACTAGTGAAAGAAGTATTGTTGCCACTTTTCATATATTTACCTCACGCCATTCTTAAATGAAATGGTAAGATTAACAAACATTAGAACACTCATTTTTCTATAACAATCGGTGGCTGTACTCCTGTGATTTTATCTTCCTGGGGCTGTAGATGGGCGGGGGGAGTACTGAAAGGTTTTAAGTATCCATCAGGCAGTCTGTATCTTGAATTCAAAGAAACACTTTTAATTAATGTGTTTTTAAAGTAAAAATAAAGAGAAAAATAACATTTGAATCGTTTTAGAGTATGTCCAGAAAGGATTAAATTGGACATAAAATATTTTAAGGCATGACAGTTAAAATGCGGTAGTCACAACTTAATCCTTTCAGTTACTTTTATTTTCTGAGTGTTCTAAAGTTTGTAGGTGTACTTGACAATGTGATAGCTTATCTCAATTTTTCCATTTTTTTTAAAGATTTTATTTATTTATTTGAGAGAGGGGGGGAAAGAGAGCACAAGCAGGGAGAGGGGCAAAGGGAGAGGGGCCTAGGGAGAAGCAGACTCCCCACTGAGCAGGGAGCTGATGCGGGACTCGATGCCAGGACCCTGGGATCATAACCTGAGCCAAAGGCAGACACTTAACCAACTGAGCCACCCAGGCGCCCCATCAATTTTTCCATTTTCATTCTTACTTTTTCTCTTAATTTCCAAAATATATCTATTGTTCCTCAAAAACAAGTTCATGAAATTCTTCAAGTTTATAGTACCCTAATTTTATAACTCTTTTCAACAGAGTGATCAGCTTGGTGAGTTATCAGAGATTGAGATTTCATAAGAGAAAATTTTCCCTTCCTTTACCTTGGCTTTGGGTCAGGTTCAGCAAAGGGGAAGTGGCCCACAGGAAACCTGTGTGAATGTTGACTTTGCTATGTGGCCTTTTGAAATCCTCTCTCTGTTAGGAAGTAGCTTCTTTTCCAGAACTAAACAATCACCTAAGTCCCCTCCTTCTCCTACAGTTACATGATTTACGACAATATTACATGGCACATTGGGAGAGTACCACAGTACCACAGTGAAAATAATATCCACTTCCCAGAGGCTTTTTATATATATATATATATATTTGTAAAATTAAGAGCAAATTTTAAGTCTGGCTCCCTTAAGCTTTTCCGAAAGTATAATGACCATGACCAGAGAAGAACATTTTAATGAGAACAGAATAAAGAGAACAGAAGACTCACTCTGAGGAGGGGGGCGGGGAACTAATAAGATTAAGAGGTCCGGGACTTAAGTAAGTTACTGAGATACTTGACATGGAAACATCTTAGCAAAGGTTATTTATTCTACACCCTCTTTCTGCCAGGAAAGGAAAACTGGCTGGTACCTAATTTCAAAAACTTTTAGATCAAAGGTGAGGCCCAAAATTGACTAAAGGGAGAGGCCTCAAGTGCTTTTGAAAATGATGTATCCCAATCCCCATCTATTGGTTGAACCAGTTATCAGCCTAGTATAAGAAAAAAGAGGATAAAACCATCTTTAGGGATAAAGTCAACCTATAAAAAATATCTTAGAGCTCAAACAAAGGCTGAGCTACCACTAGATTCCACCAGGATGAAATTATTTTACATTTCAAATGTGTATATACTTACTGTTATTTGAGTACCAAAGCACCTTAAAGATTTTGGCTACTCTATGGTTTTACCTCTCTTCTCCATATGGACAAGTATCCAGTATCCAATCCCTGGGTCCTACTGGTGCATTCTGAAATCACAAGCAGCAACTGAATTCCTGAGTCTTTAGAAAATTGCAGCTGAAGTCTAAGAGAGACTATCCCTTGAGGATTTTTCCCTAACAGCTACCCATCCCAGGAAAGTAGAGCTATAACAATAATAAGGATGGAAGCATACTTGAACATACTATTCAAGATGGTGGGCTTTGAAGCCAGAGAGCTTAGTTCTAATACTGGCACTGCCATTGCTGTGTGGCCTTGAGCAAGTTACTTAACATTTCTGTCCCTCAGTTATCACAAGAAAAGAAAAGGGACAATCGAAGCATTAGGAGTGTTTGTAAGAACAAAATAAATTAATACCTGTGAAATTCTTAGAACAGTGACTCACACATGGTGTGAGGTACATAGTAGCTATTATTATAAAGAGTAAATTCTCTACACTTGCACACAGTTAGGAAAGGAAATTAAAATGTAATTAAAAGATAAAGATTACAGGGGCGCCTGTGTGGCTCAGTTAAGCATCCAACTCTCGGGGCGCCCGGGTGGCTCAGTCGTTAAGTGTCTGCCTTCGGCTCAGGTCATGATCCCAGGGTCCTGGGATCAAGCCCCGCATCAGGCTCCCTGCTCGGCGGGAAGCCTGTTTCTCCCTCTCCCACTCCCCCTGCTTGTGTTCCCTCTCTCGCTGTGTCTCTCTCTGTCAAATAAATAAATAAAATCTTAAAAAAAAATTAAAAAAAGGATCCAACTCTTGATTTCAGCTCAGGTCATGATCTCAGGGTTGTGAGATCAAGCCCTGCATCAGGCTCCGTGCTGGGCATGGAGCCTACTTGAGATTCTTCCCCTATCCCTCTGCCCCTCCCCACCTCTAAATTAAAAAGATAAAGACTACAACAAAGAAAAATACAATTTGAAGAGTATCCTCCAAATGGAGTAGGATGTGATGAGATGTATGTAATGTACTTATAATACAGTAATCGCATGTATTGATAATTGATAAAATATGCATGGAGTAATAGTAGTGGGATATTAAATTGGGAGGGGAAATAACAGTTTTGAATGAGTGATTGTAAAAAAAATTAACAACCAGCTAGAAAAAATATTTAAGTTTTATGAATCTTAGTTCTTTTCCCTCTGCCCAAAAGTACATCTCCTGCAGGCATCTTTCCTCCCAGCCTCCTTCTTCTCCAAGCCCCCTTGACTCCATAAGGAGAGTTCCTTGCTCCATCTTCAACCCATCTCCAGAAATTTCTTTACATTTCTAGAAGACAGCTTCCACAATATAGAGCAATTTATCTGTTTTCTTGTTTTTCCCACTTCCACTGTGCTTGAATCTCCTGAGGGAGAAGGTTGTGTCTTGCCAAATCCCATGGTCAGTTCTCAGCTCTCATCTTACTGGATGGCTTGGAGGCTTTTTTATGGCTTATTACTGTTTCTTTGCTTGGTTTCTGGGATAACAGCTTCTCCTGGCTTTTATTCCCTTTATTGTCAAATCTCTCTCCATCGCCTCTGCTGCCTACTCTGTCTCTTCCCAAACAGTATATGTTGGCAAACCTCAGTGTTCAGTCCCTCAGTTCCCTTCTTGATTTATACTCATACCCAAGTTGGTTGTGTTTAGTCTCATGGCTTTAATTATTATTTATCTACCAATGGCTCCCACATTTATATTTCTGGTCCCAATATTCCCCCTGAGACCCAGCCTCATAGATCCAACTGTCCCTCTGAATATCTAATAGGCATCTCCAATTTAACCTGTTAAAACAAAATTCTTTAACTGCCCCAATCTAGTCCTCTCCTAGACTTCCCCATGCAAGTACATGACCACTTTCTTGCACCCAGTTGCTTAGAACCAAAACCATCATGTCTCATCTAAACTACTGTAATCACCTCTCAGTTCCCTGCTTCCATCCTTGCCCCCCTCTAGTCAGCTCTCCACACAGCTGGCAGGGGGGCTATTCACAGCCCAAATCCCCCAATCCCTTCACACTCAGACCCATCATTCATCATGGTCTACAAGGCACTCCATGACTTGGTCCCTGTCATCTCTCCACCCCCCATCACCTAAGTCTCCTCTTCAGTTATTCTGCTCTAGCCATACCAGCCATCTTGGTATGCCTCAAACACACCGATATCCCACTTTCCTTGAAGACTTCACACTTGCCCTTCCCCCAGCCTGACACTGTTCCCTCAGATCCTCTTCAGCTTCAATTGACCACATTATTTAATACATACACACACAAAAACACAAACACACACACACAGAATCACTCTTTAGCCACTTATCCTGCTACATACCTATAACATTTCACACTACTGGCATTATACTTCTATTTATTTGCTTACCATTTTTATCCCACACTTGAATGTGAACTCCATGAGGACACTAATCACTGCTCTATCTAATCACTGCTCTCTATCCAACTTTTAAAAAAGACCCCAACATACAGTAGATTCTCAATAGATAGTTATTGAATAAACGAGTTCATATGTCTTAATCACCTTTGTCCCTCAAGTGCTTAGGTAATTTCTAGCCCATTGAAACTACTGAATAAACGAACAAACGGCTGGTCCAATCTTTAGGAATGAATATGTTTAGAAATTTTTAAATTTATTCTATTTTTGAACTATTTTGTTCACAAGTATTATTTTATCTCTACTGGAATTGTAACATAGCATTGAGTTTTCTTGACCCAAGCATCCAATGTCACATCTGTTGAATAATGTACCTCTGCAATGCATAAATTTCATTTGGAAACAGATGAGCTGCAAATTGCTCCGTGAGCATTATATTCAAAAGCCTACCTAAATTTTGAGAGGCCCCCTCAAAGACTTACAGTTCTTATATACAGAACATGCCTCAGAGTGACCCCAAGTTCAAACAAGGGCTAGGACTAAAAGTTAGG